ACTCAACTCAACTCAACTCAACTCAACTCAACTCAACTCAACTCAACTCAACTCAACTCAACTCAGCTCAGCTCAGCTCAGCTCAGCTCAGCTCAGCTCAACTCAACTCAACTCTATTCAACTCAGATCTGCTCAACTCGGCCGAACCGGGCAGGGCAACGATCTAGCTTGCATTTGGAGGGCCGACTGATTGTTTGGTTTGCAGGGTAGTCATGTGAGGGGGCCTTCTGTGAGTACCTGGCTCTGTTTGGGGCCACCCTTGTTGAAGCTGGTTGTGTCCTCCCAATCAGACTTACTGGCGATAGGCCGAGGCCATTCCTCCAAATATTTGTTCAGTCAACTTTCAACACTGCCTTGAAGTTGTACTGCTCTGGAATAGGCGCAGATGTTCTCCAGAACGACTTGCCGCAAAAGTGAATTCAGCCAAGTTTGTTGCATCGGATGGAGAAGTAGGGATGCCGAATTTGCACACGCAATCAGATACGCAAGCCTAAAGATGCCAATGAATTTCAATCAGTCCTTTCACCAAAAACATATGCTTTTCCTGACTCGACTTGCCTGTACTGGACTGCAGATTCGGCCTGCCCTAAACTCTTCTCATAACCACACAATGGGACTCGAACTCGAGCTCTGCTTTCGTTGTGTTTTGAAGACTTTCATTTCATATTGAAGCACATGATGAAGAGGTTCGTATGTCAATCTTATCAGAAGACGCCGGCTTATTCGCGTTGTACTGCAGCTGTTTGGCCTTAATGCGATGTTCAGGCTGATGCAGTTCACGAGGCATCCTCCTACGCTTCGGGAAAACACGAGCTGAGCCTTCGTTCGTCATGCCACAAGACGAACATGGTCACACTTTTTCCCGGACATAAACATATCAAAGATCCTATACGTCTAAATAATATAGATGATATGTCCAGGATCTAGATCTATTGATATTTCACTTAAGCGTTGCAGTGGAAATTTTCGGCACAATATCACTCGGCTCAAAGTAAATGAGGTGGGTGTTTGTGTGAAGGGTGAGTAACGAATGTACAAACGTAGAATCGAATTAAGTGGAAGTTAATGCGTGAGAAGGCAATAGTGGATACGTGAAGGGGTAGCTGTCACACTGACGATTCCAAAAGAAGACGGACGCAGAGCCAGAGATACTGCGCGAGAATGATAGAGAGCAAGGAGAACGAATAGAGGGGGCATAAAATGGCTGTAGGGGTGAGAAAATAGCTGGCTACGGCTATGTTTAAATTACAAAAAAGTAAATTTATAATAGCCGCGGAAAATAAGAGTAATTAGCTGGAATCATTAAGTTGAATAAGTAAGGGTTAAGAAAGTAAAACATGCAAAGTAATCGATGAGAATTTGCACTTAATACGATTTATGAGAATAAGATGCTGGTGGGAGCTAGAGCCTAGAGCAAAGCAAAACATTCCCCGACCGGGAGTCGAACCCGGGCCTCCTGGGTGAGAGCCAGAAATCCTAACCGCTAGACCATCGGGGAGGACGAGAGTGACCAATTCTTTGTATCAAATTTGCTGGCCTGGACATTCTTTTTCTATTACTCAATAAGTTGTAAGGTTTCTTTTATAAGAAACAGAATAGCTTATGTTTTTCCGACATGCTTGTTTAAAAGCGAAGCGGCTGCTGATGAGACATAAAATGGATGCTATTTCGACCGACTAGCTGCATTCTCCCCAAAGTCTAATTAACTATTACTTTAAGCTATTAGCTGATAAGATGAAAGGAAGCATGTTCTCTGGGCAAGATAGGCAGCTGGACCACTCGACCAGGATCCAGATGTTACTGTCGCATCAAGTCTCGGAAAAGATGGACTGATTACTGAGTAGATGGGGCATCCAGACAATGTTTAAGAGTGGCTGAGCTCAAAAGCGCCCGTAGAGACGGTTGGGTTGACAAATCAGAGCCAGTCGAGCACAAGACAGCAACTGGACACTAGATTGAATGAGCGCAAACTTCTGGTTTTGCCGATTATGGCATGTCTGCAGCTAAACATAGAAATA